TTTGCAAGCTATACCTAATGAACTTACTAAGTTCAATATCTAATTTTTTCTCAATATCTTTCTTTCCTTAGAATATATACCACTGAGAGTTTTTAAAAATTCTTTGTGGGCATGGTATCAATGTAATATATCATCAGATTTATTGTTTTCTTACTATTTATTTTTAGGTTTATCTCCTCATACTTGTTTTATTTTTTGGAAATGTAAAATATTAAAATGATTCAACAGTCAAGACTATATAAAAATGTATACTTAGAAAAGAGTCATTCCCTATTCTATTCCTTGAATTTCATTTGCATCTACCTATGAGTAATGTTCTATTTCTTGATCTGGATATGAGATTACACAGGTATATTTATTTCTTGTTAAAGCTTATCGCTCATGATTTGTGCTTTTTTTGTATGCTTCACGGTGAAAAAGCTGAAAAAATACCAATGAGATGTGTCAGTCAGTATTCAATGAGGGAGGCAGAATCACTTAAGTATTACTGAATGAGGGAACTGTTATAGGAATTAGACCATGCACAATTATAGGATGAGTTATGGAAGATGGAAGATCAAAGAACAGTCACTACCCAACCTTCTGAAAGCATGGCAAGGTGAACAAGTTGAAATTGCAGGGGGCCCTGATAATCCAAGCACAGTCAGCTACTGGAGTGGGGCCACAAAGTGTTTAGAGAAAAACTCCATAGACATTTAGCTACCGTTTCTGTAGGTCCTCAAACAAGTATCTGGTGGTGGCATTGGGGCTACTGCTAATGGACAGGACTGACCATTGGGAAGAGCTGGACACAGATTGAGGGAGAGCAGGATGAGCTGGAATCCACTGGTGTCTGTCTGTATGCCACGACCACTACCAACAACAGCTGTCACAGAGTAATGGCTATGGCTTCACTTCTCCTCCCAAATAATACTAAAATTTTTTTGTCAAACTCTAACTGAATTTAGACCAGGAAATGACTCTGGGAAAGTAGTTTGAGCTGTACCAAATTGACACAGAGCAAACTGCCACCAGAGACATGATTACAGCCTTAGAGTAGTGACTGTTGACATGGAGAAAAGGAGAAAGATTAGGGAGATGTATATAAATTAGAATTGATCAGACTAGTCAATAAACTAGATTTGAACAATGAGGGAAAGGGAAATCTAAAATGACTCTGGGACTCTAACTTAAACAGCTGTGTGGGATGGTGCCACTGACTGAGGCAAAGACTCCAGATGGAGAATGCAGAGATGATGGCTGCAGGGAGATTGGGCATTTAGTGTTGCCCATGTTGGGTCTGAGACGGTGATGGGGATTCCAAGATCCTATGCAGTAGGATCCAGGGATATATTTCTTAATGGACTTTTGCTTATGACGACAATTAATCCTCATTGTGACTGGATTTATCCTCCTATCTAAAATAGCCAAAAAATTGAAAAATATAGGAAACAACACTTTCAAGACATTGGACATCAAGAAGCAAGGGACAGTCCTCCCTGAGCAATAAATCCAGAACAAAGCTCAAGAATATTTATGTAGATATTAAAATATTCAGCTGCCAACAAGATAAAATTCACAATATCTGCAGCCAAAAATTACTAGGTATGAAAGAAGTAGGAAACCACCACCTATAATTAGGAGAAAAATCAACCAATAGAAACTGATCCGGAAATGACACAGATGTTAGAATTAGAGAGAAGGTTATTTAAATAGTCATTATACTTGCATTCTATATGTTCAAAAAGTTAAGTCGTGGTATAGACTGAATATTTGTATCCCCCTCAAATTCATATGCTGAGATTTCAGCCCCAAAGGTGATGGTATTAGGAGGCAGGACTTTTGCGAGATGATTAGATCATGAGAGAGAACCCTTGTGAACAGAATTTATGCCCTTATAGAAGAGGCCTGAGAGAGGGGACCCTTGTGTCTTCTGTGATGTAGACAGCAAGAAGATGGCTGTCTATGAACCAGGAAATGGGCCCTCACCAGACATGGAATCTGTGGTGACTTGAACTTCCCAGCCTCCAGAACTGTGAGAAATGCATTTCTTTATAAACTACCCTCTCTCTAGTAGTTTGTTGTAGAAACCAAGTAGTTTCATGGAAGCTTTAAAAAAAGAGTATATGGCTGGGCGTGGTGGTTCACACCTGTAATCCCAGCACTTTGGGAGGCTGAGTTAAGAGGATCACAAGGTCAGGAGTTCGAGACCAGCCTGGCCAATATGGTAAAGTCCCGTCTCTACTGAAAATACAAAAATTAGCCAGGTGTAGTGGCAGGTGGCTGTAGTCCCAGCTACTTGGGAGGCTGAAGCAGAAGAATCGCTTGAACCTCGGAGGCAGAAGTTGCAGTGAGCCAAGACTGCGCCACTGCAATCCAGCCAGGGCTACAGTGCAAGATTCCTTCTAAAAAAAAAAAAAAGTATAATAATGGGGGAAGAAAACAGACTCTTTTTGTCTACTATACTCCCAACACTCCCGATAAAATACTGTGGTCACCAAAATGCGGGGCTGCTTTTCCCCATAAAGCAATTCTCCAATTTTCTACAAACACCAGCTGGGTGTTCTATAGTTCAACGAATTCTGACACCATCTAATGGAGTTAGAATGAGATCCCACGAGATAAGGGCTTAGTCACATGTTTGACCTCACTTTGGCTGCCAATTTTGAGTGCAAGCTTCCAGTACTTCTGACAGGCTGGCTATACATTGGGAGTTCCTATAACCTCCTCGTATTTGGTCTTTTGCTAGAATGGCTCACAAAACTCAGGCAAGCGCTTAAACTTATTACTTCATTTTAAGGGATATTACAAAGGATATGGACATTACAAAGTAGCCAGAGGGGACAAAATGCTAGGTATGGAAGAACCAAAATAATGAAGCCAGATGGAGAGGTACATGGAGCAAGGTACATGGGAAGGGGCATGGAATTTCTGTGCCCTCTCCAGGCATGCCACCTTTCCAGTACCTTCACATGTTCAGCAATCTAAAAGCTCTTTGAATGAAACCTGGGCACAAGAGACATGAAGAAAACAATACCAAATTACATTATAGTCAAATTATTCAAAACCAGTAATGAAGTGAATGTTAAAAGCAGCCAGAGGGTACAAAATGCTAGGTACGGAAGAACCAAAATAATGATGACAAATATTTTATTAGAAATAATGCAAGAAAGAAAACAGTAGAGCAACATCTTTAAAATTCTGAAAGAAAAAGAACTCTCAACCTCATTCTATACGGAGTGAAAATACCTTTTTGAAATAAATGTGAAATCAAAGCATGTTAGACATAATAAAGTTGAAAGAATTCACCACTAGGAGACCCATAGTGAGGCAAATGTTAAAGAAATCCTTTAAATAGAATAAAAATGATACCAGATGGAAATATGAATCTATAAAAAGAAATAAAGAGCATCCAAAATGGTAACTACGTGGGTGCATCTCTATACTTTTTCTTAAATTTTAGATCTGTTGAAAGATAACCAACTGTTTTTTTGTTTTGTTTTGTTTTTTTGAGACAGAGTTTTGCTCTTGTTGTCCAGGCTGGAGTGCCATGGCGCCATCTCAGCTCACCACAACCTCTGCCTCCTGGGTTCAAGTGATTCTCCTGCCTCAGCCTCCTAAGTAGCTAAGATTACAGGTGCCCATAACCATGCCCAGTTAATTTTTTTTGTATTTTTAGTAGAGATAGGGTTTCTCCATGTTGGTCAGACTGGTCTTGAACTCCTGACCTCAGGTGATCCACCCACCTTGGCCTTCAAAGTGCTGGGATTACAGGCGTGAGTCACCGTGCCCGGCCTATAACCAACTGTTCAAGCAAAAATAACAATGTAGTGTGATATTTACAGCACATATCAAAGTATAATATACAATAACAATAGCACTAAGTTTGGGAGGGGAGAAGTTGAAGTATATCATTGTGAAGTTCCTAAACATGCAATGGTATCATATCACTAGAAGATAGTCTAAGTTAAAGGTGTATAGTATAAACCATAAAACAATGCTAAAATAACACAACAAGGAGTTGTAGCTAATAAGATGACAAAGGAGGTAAAATAAAATCATTAAAAAATACTAAGGAAATATAGAAGGTAGAAGATGAGGAAAAGGGGAATTAAAAACACATGAAACACATAGAAAGCACAAAGACAATATATTTAAATTTAACCATGTCATAAATCTCATTAAATGTAAATGGTCTAAAGACTCATATAAAAGACAGAGACTGTCAGATTTGATAAAAAAAAAAAAAATCAAATATCTACATGCTGCCCCAAAGAAATATACTTTTAATATAAAAACATAAAATATACTAAAATATATAGCATGCTAACAGTAATCAAAGGAAAGCTGGATTATCTATGTTAGCATTAGAAAAATTGGTTTTTAGACAAATTATTACCACAGATGAAGACAGTAAATCCATATTGATAAGGGGTCAATTGATCAAGAGAACATAACAATCCTAAAAGTTGATGCCCCTCATTAACAGAGATTCTAAATACATGCAGTAAAAAAAGTTCCTGTATTAAGTTGATTAGGATAATGCCTCCATCTGCACCCATGTTGCTGCAAAGGCCTAGATTTTATTCTTTTTTATAGCTGTGTAGTATTTCATGTTGTGTATGTATCACATTTCCTTCATCCAATCCACCATTTATGAGTAACTACATTGATTCCATGTCTTTGTTAAATAGGCCACTTTCTAGAAATGCATTTTATTTATTTGAGACAAATAAATTTCTCAATCACTCAAATAAATGCCTCTGTCACTCAAGTTGGAGTGCAGTGGCATGATCACAGCTCACTGCTGCCTCAACCTCCCAGTCTCAAGCAATCCTCCTGCCTCAGCCTCCTCAGTAGCTGGGACTACAGGTGCATGCCACCACACCTTGATAATTTTTTATTTTTATTTTTTAGAGACAGGGTCTCACTATGTTGCCCAAGCTGAGATGCATTTTAAACCAAAAAATACAGATAAAAGTAAACAAATACAAAAATAAAGACTATGCAAACACCAATTATAAGAAAGCTAGAGAGGCTATATTAACAAAGTAGACTTTATAATAAGAAATATGTCCAGCAATAAAGATGGATATTTCATAATGATAAAACAGTTAATTCATTAAGAAGATGTAAGAATCTTAAATGTATATGTACCTAATTAGAGTTCCAAAATAAATAAAGCAAAAACCAAGGGAAGCATAAAGAAAACTGACAAACACAATTTTAACTGGAGATTTTGGTACTCTTTCCTTAGTAATGAGTAGCACAAACAAGCAAAAAAGTAAGAATAAACCACACTATTAACCAACTTATCTAAATTGTACTTACGTAACACAACATCCAACAACTGCACAATCACAGTATCACTGAAATAATGGGTGTTCTGTTTCTTCTATTCCACTTCAAAACCTTATTATTATTATTTTTTGTCTTAAATGCACTAGCTCTAGCTTTCGGTGGTTTTAAATAGAAATAAACTACCACACATCTTTGTCTCGTTTCGTTTTTAAGAGAATGCTTCTAACGCTGCACCATTAAGTATGATGGTTGCTGGTTGTAGACTTTGGGATTTTAACTAGTCTTACTGTTTTAACAAAAAGGATTTCTTTAATTCTTTCCTTGCTTTTTCCCTTTTCAATAAGAGTGGACCATTGCTGTGGAAGCCAGAAGACCAACAAGAGAGAGTAGCCAGTGACAGAGCTCCACATGGCTGTGAATTAGCTCATCTCCTCCAGCGAGAAAGATAGATAGAATCTGAGTTCAGAAGAATATGCATGCTTAGGTTTGGAGAACTGAACACCAAAACAGCAAGAGTTCATTTGACTGGTGCTACCTCAAGTAATTTATATTAACCCTGTTGTTAGTTATCTTTGCCAATTTTGCTGTGTTTACTTCCCTCCAATAAATATTTATTGCAGCCCAACTTTTATGCTCAATGTTGTTTGGCACTGTAGAAAAACACAAAGAGATTGCATTTTCCTTTGTGAGCTTCTGTGCATTCTGACTTTGGTCTCCATGATACAGTTATCACAGGCACTGCCACCATCTCATGGGATCCTTTGGGTGGGTGTTCTTTCTCTACATTTTTGAGATCTGTATAGCCTTTTGATGTCAGCAGTAGCCTTAATGTAGGATGTTGGCCAGGGGCCAGGTTCACTTTGCAGGACATGTGGTGCTGGGCCTCAGGGCAGGGGTCTGCCGAGCAGAGGAGACATTTCTTGTTCTTGCTGCTCCAGTTGTGCTTCTGGCCTGAGATTCTTTGGGACAGCTGGGGAAATTCCTGGGCTACACGGTGGGGGTCAATTGATTCAAATTATTGGTATGGGCTTTCTTGGGTTCAGTCCAGACCCTGCAAAAAACCAAGAATAGTTGAGATGAGAATAAAAAGAGAGGAGATGGACAGAAAAGCCCCCAAATCCATCCACCAGGGTAAGGGTGAGGGTAGAAAGAGAGGATGTGGGTACATATTCAAGTCAGTGGACTTTAAGGAGGAGATGAAGGAAGAAAGGAGTGGCCAACCTCTTGGTGATGATTCTTCAAGCAAGTGCCTTCAAAGTAGCCCTGAGATGGCAAGTTGTGAGCTGAGGGGGCTTTTGGGGGCCCAAGTAGGGAGGGATCTATAAGGAAGAAGAGGGCCAAAAGGGCTAATTTGCTGTGAGGCAAAATTTCCAAATCTCTAAAACTGCCTGAGTCAATGTAAATTTCAAAGCATAGATGTGTGTTGCAACACAGGTGAAAAGGTATTTATTAGACACTCCTAGAAGCTGAGGGGGTATAGCTCAGGGGTAGAGCATTTGACTGCAGATCAAGAGGTCCCTGGTTCAAATCCAGGTGCCCCCTGGAAGGAGTCTCTTTTAAGTACTGGAGACACATATTAATTAGTACCTTCAGGTTGCCCCAGGTCCTATGGCAGATTAAGGGGAGGTTGGTAGGAAGGAAGTGGAAAAAGAAGACATGGAAAGGAATCTAGTCATCTATGGGCTGGGCCAATGCAAAGTTCCAAAACCAGGAATGTGGTTCTAGCTATGATCTTGTTATTAAGGTGATGTGAACTCAGGCGGGCCTTTAATGACAGTCTTCATTTCTTCTTTCAGGCATATAACATGCAAGTACAGACTAAAATCAAAGTTGCCAAACATGTCTGAGCACCCGAATGCCATCTGGAGATTCTGATTTGTTAGGTCTGAGAAGTTTTATTTTTCGTTCATTCCATCACCCCGCATCACAGAAACACCAGATGATCTCCTGGGCTGCAAAATTTAGCAACCACTTACGAAGCACGTACCAATTATTAATGTGCAGTTTGTACCACTTGCTCAAGTCCGGAGACACAGAACACTCACACAGCAAGTTAAGCAAAGCAACTTTATTCCTCAGACAGGCAAAGGACAACAGAAGCCTGGGATTTAGGGTGAGCTGGTCCCCCAAGGCTCAGGAAGCTGCCCAGGGCAGATGGGAGTCTCACCTATGTGTGTCCCACTTCACACTGCAGCTGAGGGACCCTGAACAGCCTCTGCTCTTGGTTTTCTACCGCAATGGCAATTTGGATCATTGGGCTAAAGTGCTGTAGGGCGTCCTGTTCTAGGTGTGATGGGAACAGAGTCCGGGTTTAGGATAGTTCCTCCTTATCTCAGGACACAGCACTCCCAGCACATTCTCCAGTTATTCTGAGAACTACAACCAAGAAAAGAAGGAAGCACTGGGTTGGCCAAGGCCATCTGAGGACTTGTCCTGTTGGGTCATTTAAAAAGCCTTTCTAGGATAATGTTAATGGCTTTCCAAGCTGATGTCTTTCCCATTGAGAGGAGAAGCTGTAGGCCTGTGGATTGCCAGGTTGAAGGGGGCTGGGGTTTAGAGGAAAGAGGAGAGCATGAATGGGTTGTCTGCAGTGGGGCTGTTCCTGTGGACTGACCAAGAAGAAACTGAGGTGTTGATGTGGCTGCACAGGCACTTATCAGAAACAGTTCTGGCAAGTGAAGGGTGCAACTCAAGGTTGAGCATCTGCCTGCAAACCAAGAGGGCTCTCGTTCAAATCCATGTGCCTCCCACACCCCTTCAGTTCTCTACTTATTGAACAAAATCCTTTTCACCTCTGGGGTCTGGAACGGTGTTGCATTCTTCCTGCAAGGAAAGAAGAGAGAATAGACAGCAGAGAGCTTTGCCAGAAAGCCTCTGTAGTTTCTTGTAGGCCCCAGTGAACTTCTCCAGGCGACTCTGTCCCCTCATTAATCCTTAACCTCAGAGCCTTGAAACAGGCCTAACTGCCCCATAGAACTGAGGTTTATGGTTTTTCTTGAATAAACCTAGAAATTGACCCTCCCCTTCTTGAAATCCAAGGCAAAATTTACATTTGTGTTATCTGAGCTCCTTTCTCAGGAAACCTACCAGCAGTCTTCCCAGATAGTATCAAGAAACTGAAATTTACCAGATCCCCACATTTGAAAAGTGAGATGCCAGACCCCTCAACCATCATGACCATCTAGATGGCCACCTGCCACCTGTTGGCCAACTCCTCTTCCTTGCCCCTCCCTAATCCCTGTTTTCCCATAGGAGGCTCCACACTATGCCCTGGGGCTACTTCCCTGCCCCTTGTGTTCATGTGTGGACCCCAGTATCTGCTTCATAAGGGAATCACCAGATGTGCATGTTGGGGGGCATGTTTCCCACCCGAGCAGAGCCTCCCAGTGCCCACTGGGGCAAGTGAGCTGCAACGTCTTCTCAGGGAGGTGAACAAGGTGAAATGCTTAACGCTGACTGTTGGAATCTGGGAGAAAGACTGGCAGAGGCAGTGGTTTCCCCTGTGTCTGAGTCAGTGCTCAATTATTCCTTGTGGCAGCATCCCATGGGTGACTGGTTGTTGCTCGAGAACATTCTTATTTCAAGTCAATAAAACCACATCCTTACCAAAAGAGAGACATCTGTTCAATTCACTTCTGCAAGCGGTATCAGACCTCCACGTGCAGGTTTACTGCCTCATTTTGTACCACTTGAAATTCTGATTTGGGACTCAGGACCTCTGTTGCCCAGCATGCTCTGCTGGGTTCACTGCATTTAGTCTCTCCATAGACTCAAAAGTAACAACAGCTGAAAGCAAAGATTGAAAAGAAACAAAAAATTCTAACAATTAATTTTTTAAAAAAGAAAAAACAAAAAGATCTGAACCCAATTCTGCTTAACGTTTTCTCCCCAAACAAGAATATAATAGTCCATAATAACATAATTGTAGCTGCAATCTGCTTACTCCCATAAAATATTAGCCTAAGAAACAAACACTGCTACCTTCTAAGGGGCAAATCAATTTCTTTGCAAGTTTTGAAGAGTGAGGAAGGAAGTTGGAGCCTCACGTAGGAAGCCTGGCCTTGCTCTTGCATAGCTACAGGCAGGAGCCATGCAGGAGGGAGGAGCCTCAGCACTGTCCAGCATCAAGAGTGGGCCCTGGAGTGCGTGGGGATGGGGAGCCTGGGGAGTGGAGCAGCAAGGGTGGGGCAGGGACTAGCAGGGGAACAGGAGGCCAAGGATGGAAGGGCTTTATAGTCACCACGCAGAATATGGATCCATGCAATGCAGCTCAGAGCTACCCTCTGTCCTTTTTGGCTCTCCAGGCTTCTGTTTCCCCTATGTCCTCTGCATCCAGGTCTCTCATTGGCTGGCTCCACACCAGCACTCTGGCTCTGCACCCTCCTCTCCTCCCCACTTCACCCCTGGGCCACCTGCTCTCTAGGTCCCCTCTAGGAAGGGGAACCCCGTTAGACTAACACCTCCAGCCCCCATAAGTAGCTCAGGAGGGGGATGGGCCTGTGGGGCTGGACAGCCCTGAGTCTACCTGACTTTCTGGAGCAGACCTCGGGCCAGGCAGAGGCTGTGTCTGCTCTATGCCAGGGTCTATGACTTGGCCTGGTGGGAAAACAGTGCATCGTCCCCAAGATGACTACCTTTCTCCTTTAGAGGAGCACTGGGCAATTTAATTAACTCTTATTTTTTTGAGGACCCAAGACATATAAAACCTTCTTTTTGAGGTAATTTCTGGAAGCTGCATTCATCTGGACTTTACAATGGGAGATGAGATTTGAATGATGGTGAGGGATAAGGGCCCATGTGGGTAGGGCCAAGAGGGAGAAACGGGAGCTTGGGATGAGGCACTTGCCAAAGCTGAAGCAGGCTGCATTAAGGCTCCACAGTGCATACAGATGACCCTCGTGCAATGAGGGAGTTAGGGGTGTTGACACCCCTCCCCCACGCCAACTTGCAGTCAAAAATCCAGATAAAACTTTGACTCCCCCAAAACGTAACTACTAATAGCCTACTGATGACTGGAAGCCTTCCTGATAACATAAACAGTCAATGGACACATATTTTGTATGTTCTATGTGTTATACACTGCATTCCTACAATAAAGAAAGCTAGGGAAAAGAAGACGTTATTAGGAAAATCATAAGGAATGGAAAATGTATTTACTATAGAATAAGTGGAAGTGGATCATCATAGAGGTCCTATTCTTTGTCATCTTCACTGAGTAGGCTGAAGAAGAAGAGGAAGAGGCGGGGCTGGACTTGCTGTCTTGGGGCAGCAAAGGCAGAAGACCATCTCTGTGTTAAGTGGGCCCACAGTTCAAACCTGTGATGTTCAAAGTTAACTGCAGTTTTATTTACAGACTTTACAGATTCAGGACCAGCCTTCCTGGGTCAAAGAGCTGAGAAGTGCAGAACCGTCTTTGCTGATTAAATGCAAGCCCAGACAAAGGGTGCTTGGACTGGAAACAAGACCTTTTGGTCTGCACTCAGCTACTATACCCTAGTACTGGCACCTGGGCTGGCCAAGCAGTATCTCTGACTCTGGGAGCTGAGTCCCATGCTCTTCTTGCCTGCGGCTCTTTCTTCACACCTAGAGTGGCTTCGGCTTACTACCAGGTCTGCTCCCCTGCTAAGAGGCCAAGCCTTGCTTCCCGTTCCGTACCGTCTTCCGGCCATTTCAGCCGGCGCTCCTCAGCCTGAAGTCTTCAGCTCCTTGGAGGGCAGGTGGATAGAGAAGCTAGAACCATTTCGTCAGATCTCACCTGGGCTCTTCTGGTACTTAGGGAGCTACTGTAATCTGAAAATCAGCTCACCTTCTGCGAATCTGATGGGCGTGCCTCTCTGTAGAAGGTAACTTCTCCAAGAGACAGTTTGTACATGTGTTGCTGACGGGGACTTAGGAAGTCCTTCAAACATGTCTGAAGGGGAAAGGTCCAGTGACTTGGTGTTTGTTCCTCCCAGCAGGACCTGAATAATCCCTGGAGAGGGTCTCTGCTGCTGGGCAGGCAGAGGCAGGGTGCTCTGGCCTAGGGCAGCAAATACTCCAGGGGCTGCATAGCCACCTCCACCCTAACGCCGGCCTTGCTGGAGACCCCCTGCCTGTCCTAATGTGGGAAGGGAGCCCTGATTAGGAAGTGTGAATAGTCCTGTAATTGGGAAGATCTAGAGTTATGAAATAATGTTCATTTTTTGAAACTGTGTCTTTGAGTGAATTCAAACATTGCAGAAAGGTGAGACCTAAACATGGTGCTTATGATGAGACTCTGCTTGGGGGGCATCTGAGCAGCCAGCCAGCTCCCACCCTGATGATATTGCCACTGGGTTACAAGGCATGGAGTTTCTCAGGATCATCACAGGCAGAGGTGTGCAGTGAGAATAAAACAGGAGTCATGTGCTTTTCTTTCTTTTTTTTTTTTTTTTGAGACGGAGTTTCGCTCTTGTTACCCAGGCTGAAGTGCAATGGCGCGATCTCGGCTCACCGCAACCTCCGCCTCCCGGGTTCAGGCAATTCTCCTGCCCCAGCCTCCTGAGTCGCTGGGATTACAGGCACACGCCACCATGCCCAGCTAATTTTTTGTATTTTTAGTAGAGACGGGGTTTCACCATGTTGACCAGGATGGTCTCGATCTCTTGACCTCATGATCCACCCGCCTCGGCCTCCCACAGTGCTGGGATTACAGGCTTGAGCCACCGCGCGCAGCCGTCATGGGCTTTTCATGGGGATCCAGAAATAATCAGACAACTGAGGCCTTTGAAGCTGGGACCGTGACTTCTGACATCACTAACAAAGCTTTAGGACTCAGGCCTAGACCGCCCCTTCTCTAACAGGACCTCACTGATAGCCAACCTGATCAATGGCTTTCCTGTTCTTCTACAAACACCTGTACCACATCACTCGTAGTTTCTGATCACTCATCACTCAACATACTCATATCTTTTATGGCCATTCTTTGTATGTCTTTTCAGCTTCCCCCTCTGCTGTCAGCTTCTTTTCCCTTTCTTGGCATCTGTTATGTCTATGGCATCTTGAAAAGAGAGAATCTGACTGGTCATTATCCCTGTGCAGGCAGAACTGCAGGTCACTGGTTCACTTGTATATTAGCTGGGAAGAGAGGAAAACGTCAAAGAAACGAATCAATATCCTGAGAGAGATATGAGAAAGTATTCCATCTGTTAAACAAGACACATAAAAAGGGTCAATTATGGAACAGATAATGCTTAGAAATTATAGAAAGGATACAGGATATAAAAAATTAAATAGAAAGTTTGAAAAATAAAGTTGAGGCAGTTTCCCAGAAAGTAAAATAAAACAAAAAGACAAAGGAAAATATAGTAAGAGAGATAAAAATAATAAAGTTAGAGGTTAAAACCAAGATGTGTGAAAAACAACTAGTAGGCTTGGTGCAGTGGCTCATGCGTATAATCCCAGCACTTTGGGAAGCCCAGGTAGGAGGATCACTTGAGGCCAGGAGTTCAAGACCAGCCTGGACAGTTCAGACCCCTGTTTCTACAAAGAAAAAAAATTAGTTTGTCATGGTGGGGTATGTCTGTAAGCCTAGCCATTCAGGAGGCTAAGATGGGAGCATCACTTGAAGTCAGGAGTTCAACGTTATGGTGAGCAACACCCTGTCTCAAAACAAACAAACAGCCCTTTGTCAGATGGGTAAACTGCAAAAATTTTTTCCCATTCTGTTGGTTGCCAATTCACTCTAATGACTGTTTCTTTTGCTGTGCAGAAGCTGTGGAGTTTGATTAGGTCCCATTTGTCTATTTTGGCTTTTGTTGTCAATGCTTTTGGTGTTTTGGTCATGAAGTCCTTGCCTACACCTATGTCTTGAATGGTTTTGCCTAGATTTTATTCTAGGGTTTTTATGGTGGTAGGTCTTATGTTTAAGTCTTTAATCCATCTGGAGCTAATTTTAGTGTAAGGTGTCAGGAAGGTCTCACTTATAGGCGGGTGTTGAACAATGAGAACACATGGACACAGGGAGGGGAGCACTACACGCTGGGGTCAGTTGGGGGCAAATAGGGGAGGGACGGCGGGGGGTGGGGAGCTGGGGAGAGATAGCAAGGGGAGAAATGCCAGATGTAGGTGATGGGGAAGAAGGCAGCAAATCACACTGCCACGTGTGTACCTATGCAACAATTTTGCATGTTTTTCACATGTACCCCAAAACCTAAAATGCAATAAAATAAGTAAATGGGGAAAAAACAAACAAACAAACAAACAAATAAACACACACACACTAATAAAAGTCCCAAAAAGAGAACATGATGGACAGGAGATTATACAAGAAGATTACGCATAATGAAAGGACTTGGCTATCCATTAGAAAAGATTCTCCAAATGCCCAGCACAATGAATAAAAAATTATCCTCATCAAATACATCATAGTGTGATTACAGAATATCAGGACAAAAGGGAAGATCATCAAGGCTTAAAAACGGAAAGAAACAGGTGATGACAAAAGATAGACGATCACAATGGCACCTGACTTTTCAATAGCAATACTAGACACTAGAAGACAACAGGAAAAATCCTTCACAATATGAAGGATTATAAGTTGAAACTAGAAATCTATGTCTACCCAGACTGCTAATCAAGTGTGTAAGTAGAATTATGGACATTTTGAGGAATGCAAAGTCTTAAAAAAATTCACCTCTACTCACCATTCCCAGAAAACAACTGGAGGATATCCTCTGCCAAAATGAGGAAGTAAATTAAGAAACATTCGAGACTTGGAACCGGGAAGAAGAGACTCGCACGTGGGAGACAGAGATGGAGAGAATGTCCCGGTGAGGGTGGAGGCAGTCCTAGGGCACGGGCTGTGCAGCAGGCTCTCCAGGGCAACCAGAACAAACACAGCAGGAAGCTGCAGAGTTACTGGAAAACAAGAAGTGGAGACGTTAATTATCTAACAGCTTTTACAATGTGGTAAGTTGTTTTGACAGGCATTTCATGGAGCAATGAAAGGTTGTGGAAAATCATAGATGTTCCAAGAAAACTGGGCAGTTGAAAATGTGAGGGTATCATTAACTTGAGGAAAAACAAAAAGTTCTATCAGAACTCTTAGTTCAGCTTAGGGTTATGTAGATTGGCCATAAAAACTGTTGACCCCATAATAATTAAAACATGGAAGATAAAATTGAACAAAGGGTAAATATATAGCATGTTATCTAAAAAGTTGAGATACACAGTAAACAAATTAGAAAACAGAAGAGAAGAAGCCACATGAGTTATAATCCTCATCTACAAAAATAAGTCAGATAATGATGTCTAAATCTGATAAATGATACATAGTATATTATGACACATTTATATTACTTAAAATCATAGAGGCAAACAGACTAGAAGAAACAGCCAAAAGGGTGGAGAGTGGCTGCCTCTGGGTGGCAAGAGGGAAATACAAAGGATTGAGGTTTCTTTTATTATAAGCTTTAAAAGCAGTGTTTGACTGTCAAAAATAGTTGCACAAGATACTTAGATTAAAAAATATATATATATGTAAGGTTAAAAACAGTCGTGCACTGGGGATGGAGGTGCGGTTCAGGGTAGAGCTTTCCACACTAGGAGCAGAGTTTTCTGGCCAACACCTGAAGGAGCTGTGTGGTCCTCATGCTATGTTGTCTCCATGATGCTTCCCAGGACTACTCTCTGATACCAGTCAGGGCCTGGGAACTTCCCCAACGGTTTCATAAATCGGATTTAATGCAAACATCCCAGACTAAGAGAACTTCAGATGTCGGTATTGCATGTGTCTCAATTTTTGTCACCAAACTGCTATTTTGCAGTATAAACAAGAAGAAATCAGACATGTAGACCTAAATGCTGTTCCAGCAGTAAATGGAAACGCTCCTCCCAGCTGCTGCTGTCACCACAGACTGAGGGAAAGGGGGAAGACATACAGGCATGTGAGCGGAAGCTAGGGTTTGGGAATTGGGGATGGACTTCTCTGGGATGAGTCTGTGTTAGAATCAGTTGCTGGTCTTACTCTCTAGAAACAAGTAGGAACTTCCAATGTGCTGCAGGACTGCTGGGTGTGACTACCAACATGAAAGGTGCTTATTAGACACCTGCAACAAGGAGGGGGTATAGCTCAGGGGTAGAGCATTTGACTGCAGATCAAGAGGTCCCCAGTTCAAATCTGGGTGCCCCCTACTGCACTTTTTCTATTCACACAAGCTATTTATGTTCTTCACAGAAGCTGTTGGTCATATTCCAGTTTCTTTTCATCCATTCCACCTATGATTTTCCCTGGAACTGGAAGCTACAGGTCAGGCCAGCCCAGCTGCAACCTGGCTGGATAACTTCTTCCCCTCTCTTCCTGCACCAGCTCCATAGGTATCCCTCATATTCTTGGTATCTAGCTCCCTCTCCCCCTATATATGTAATTTCTCCAACTCGATTGGATTCTCAAATAGAAGGTGGAGATTGTGATGCAGAATGCTTCTGGGGTTTTCCAGGGCAGACTAGGTAGTTGTACTACAGCAGATACCTAGAAACAGACAGCGAATGGTACCCCAAGTTATCACCCTACTGCTTCCTTCCCACAGCAGCTGTTTGGTGTACTGGAGTGGTGGCCGGACCAAGGGAGAAACATCACAGCACCCGGCACTTCCATGCAGGGTAGATATTTTCCCCTGGATAATTGCTTTCTCCCACGCCAGGGCTCACAACCTTGCTTCAACCTTGTAGGCCAAAAGCCTGGCTCAGTTACTCCAACAAGGGAGACAGAGGCTCTGCAGTGTTCTTTTTCTGAGATGGAGACTTACTGTCACCCAGGCTGGAGCTCAGCAGTGTGATCTCTGCTCACTGCAACCTCTGCCTCCCGGGTTCAAATGGTTCTCCTGCCTCAGCCTCCTGAGCAGCTGGGATCATAGCTGTGTACCACCATACCCTGCAATTTTTTGTATTTTTAGTAGAGACAGTGTTTCATCATGTTGGCCATGTTGGTTTTGAACTCCTGACCTCAGGTGATTTGCCCACCTCGGTCTCCAAAGTGCTGGGATTATAGGTGTGAGCCATTGTGCCCACTAGAATTCTGAGTTTGTCTGTGGGCCACAAGGAGTCAGGCCTGTGCCCTAAAATGAAGCAACCAGTCAGGCCATTTGTTTCAGGAGGTCATTTAGGAGACATTACAGAGAATGGTTTGGAGTTTGCCAAAAGACAAGGACAGGAACTGGTGTTATTTTCTGAACCCCTACTATGTGCTAATAGCATACTAGGCAGTTTATCATGTTATCGTATTTGTCCTAGGAAACTTAGCCCTGGTTAAGAAGAAGAAACTGAAGTTTATAGAGTTAAATACCTTGCCCAGTGACACAGAGTAAGAAAAGGAATCCAGAGGAGAAAAGGAAATCCAGAGAAACTTTCAAGATAAAATATATAGG